TTTTTGTTTCATCCAAGTTTTCCTCCAGCAGGACGACAGCTGGGGCAAAACTTTCAAGGACGTTTTATTCCTCAACCATGCCCCAGATCTCCCGCGTACCCGGGCCAGTTCTTATGACGGTTAGTTGATTTCGGGCCTTGTGGAAATTTTCCGGCACCTCCACATCCACACCCTTGATGTGCCGGAAATTCCACAAGATTTTAAAAAGGGCTTCGGGTTCTTCGTTTGCCTGAAGACCCTTTCCGCGCCTGCTCGGGATACGCGGCAGACGTCTTCCCCTGTGAGATATGGTGGCTTGATTTTTTTTTTTTTCCGTAGCAGTTTGAGGGAGGTCTGGGCCTTAAGATTTTTGTGGTGACTGAAAAGGTGTTGGAATGGGTGTGATGTTTTGGTGGAGGGTGTCATAAACCTGAAGGCGTCTTGACAGGAGAGGGTTTTGCTGAGTGAAAAGTTTTAGATGGTGAATTTGACAAAGATTTTGGTGGATGAGGTTTCATGAAGGGTTTTTCGATGAATTAGGGGAAGACGGGGCAGAGAATAGAGGGACCGGTGCCCCCAGCGATTTTTGGTTTTCCCCGCTTAGCCTCAATTGATCTTTTAATTTTTTTAAGTCAAGTATTTTTTCCAACTTGGCTCGTTTGCTTTTCTGGGTTTCGCTGGCGTTTTTTTTCATAAGACGTAAGGCGTCGCCCTCAGAGCTGACAGAGGGAATGGGGCTGTAGGTAACTTTGTCCCTGGTGTCATGTTGGGACTGAGGAAGTTTTTTGGGTCTTCCCCTTGCCCCTAACTACAAGGCGCCATTCCCCTCATCCTTCTCCTTAACCACACTAGTGGCAGGCGTTGGTTTCGGGGGTAATGAATTGGACCCAAATGTGGGATTTTGCCCATCGGTCCGCCTAAGCTAGGCCCATTACATTAATGGTAGTTTTTCTTCATCGGCCAAACTATTTTTTGGTCACCTACGACCGGAACTCAGGACCTTCTTCCCTGGGCAGGAGGAGGAAAGGTGACCAGTCTCTCCACCTCCAACAAGTTGGTCGCCTACCAGTCACTATGACCGGCATTTTCCGGTTGCCTAACACCAAACAGTTGGGGACGGACTTGAAGGCCTCTTGATCGAGCATTATATCGAAAGTCCATCCCCGTTCAAATTGTCAGAGAGAGCCCCTAAAATTTGGCCGTACTGCAAAAAAAATGCAGCCAGGTGCTCTATATTGATTTGAGGAGGAACCTCAAAACGGCCACCCTGGTCCGCCTTTGGCCTTCATACTCAGTTCTTATTATTAAATCCTTCGTAATTAATTCTTTTTGGCCATGGTGGTATGCAATCTTCCGATATTTGGGCAGCAGAATGTCCCACATAAAGAAACCCGTACCCATAATAATTTTTTGGGGTTTTATCCCCAGGGACAAAAAGTGATTTGATCACAGTGTCTTTTGTGGAGCGACAAATCTTTCGGGTTTTCTTGTCGACCACAAAAGAGTCACCATTCTCTTTGAGAACATATCGAGTTCCTGGACAGTATCGACGAACCCATCTTTATTAACAAGATGGGCGTATCCTTTCGCCTTATCCAGGAATTCCGCCATGTTCAGAATACAACTAGGTGGGGACTTCCAGCAAAGAGGGCAGCTCCTCGGACGTCTTAACTTGTGCCTTGTCAGTTTTAGAAATATCTCCTTTCTTGGAGATACTTGATTGAGCGGATTTTCTTTAACGTCAGCCCGCTTTTTTCGCAGATTTTTTCAGGTGGGTCGGCGTTGGCAGCCTTCCCAAAAAGGTATTTTTTAACAACCGACCGACTTTTTCGTTATCCATATGTTGCTAGAGCGTGGAGATTACCACTAGCGGGAAATTTTCCACAAACAAGGGGGACAAGTTAAAAACTAAAATAAAGAAGGCCTGGATAACCCAGGAAACAAAAAATTTTTAAAATAAACTAAAAGTAAAATAAAATAAATGACAGAATTCAAAAATAGGTAAGACTTTTTTTAAAAAAAAAAAATGGCGCCCGAAGGCAGCCGAAAAAATGAAACGCTTTCTCTTTTTTTTCCAAAATCAAAAATGTACAAAAAAAAATGAAAATAAAATAAAGGTTTTCGGCCGAAGCCGATAAAGAAAATAAATTAAATGTAAAAACAAACTAGTCAAACCAAAAGGAAGAAAGCGACCGAAATCGCTAAAAAAAAAGGAGAAAAACGGAAATAAAAAACAAAGCTTTCTTTTCTTTTGTCTTAAACTGTTCTTAAATTTTAAAACTGAAAAGAAATAAACAAAATAAGAAAGCAGTCGTCCGGTAAGACTTTGTCAAACCGGACTAAAAAAAAAAAAAAAAAAGTGGGCCGAAGCCCAAAAACAAATTAAAAACAAACAAAAGAAATGGAAAAAATTAAAAGAATAAAAACTTAAATCAATAACTTATCAAAAAACTTGAAATTTCAGTTAAAGTTCTTCCAAATAGGTAGACAGATCACAGGAACAAACAATCGCGGACCAGAAACTGGCTCGCCACACAGTAGTACTACAAAAAATTCAAAAATAACGTGCAACAATCAACACGGAAGTCATTAAAAACAGTCCATTAAAGGTCTCCAAACGGTTGTGTTGCTTTTATTAAAACGCCAGTTTTGGGTTTATAAAACCGAGGCTTTATTTTTTTATCACGTTCGACAGGAATTTATAATTCTTTTACCTCCTCCACTGAGAAAGGCAAGTTTTACACCTCACAGCATGAACCATTCGAGTAATGCCCGGGTGACAGAGATTGTTATGTAGCGTTCGGAGTTCGTTATGCTTGATGCCATACTGCATACTCTTGACAGTGTATCAGTTGTTAAGTTCTCCTTGCCAGGTCGGTAGCTGACGTCAAAGGAGAAAACAAGATAGTTCAATTCTCCACCTCGCTATTTTTTTCATTCTTTATTTTACTTGTAGTCTTAGAATTGAACATAAAAAGCAACTGATTTCTGGTCAGTAATAAGTTTAAAGTGGCGTCAGATCAGGTAGTGTCACCTTTTTTCTTAATGCCTCGACTATGGCGTAGGCTTCCTTTTCAATTGCGGGGTGTCGTCGTTCAGCCTGTGAGAGGGTCCTTGAAAAAAAAGGCTACAAGACGATCAGCTTGTCTCAAAGAAGCAGCAATAGCACAGTCTGACGCATCCGTTTCAACAACCAGAGGAATATTTTTGGTCTATTGTTGTAATTGCAGATTTAAAAATATCCTTTTCAGTCCCTCGAATGCCTCAACGGCTTGAGATGAGGACAGAGGAAACGTCTTTACTTGTGTTAATGGATGTATCTTTTCTGAGAACGAAGCAATCCATTGGGAATAGTGAGCAAACATGCCCATAACACGTAAAGGAAAAGGCTGGTTGTAAATAAGAACTAAACTGCTGTAAAGCTAACTTTCGAAGATATTCCATTGCTCGTAAGCTGTTCTAAGTGTAAGGGTCTTATTCTCAAGAAGACGTTGTCTTATCTTAGTATGACGTAAGTCGTTAATGAATGCGTCCAAAATGTGTAGCTCTTGGGCCTCTAATGTCGTCATTGGGCAAAGTTGCAATTTTGCTCAGTGTCAAAGGCTTATAGGAAATGGTCAAATGTTTCGCCTGATTCTTGTCGGCGAGTCGCAAGTAGGTGTCTAGAAAATATCTCATTTTGGGGCTTTATGTATGTAGCGTTCAGTACATCGATTGCTTCTTCACAGGTAACACAACACGAGATAATTTCGTTGACTGTGTGAGACAGGTAGTTGGTTAGAGCGCACGCTTATTGATGGGACGTCCCGGTCTTTCTGAATGTAGAACCTCGATGAAATTTGTAAATGTCTCCCACCAATGTTTCCAGCACTTGTCGGCTGAATCGCTTTCTGGATCTGTGGTAAATCGTTCCGGACGCATAAATTGTTCCATTCTTAATTGAATAAATTGTAATGAAAACAGGACAAGAGATTCTGCCTAGTAATCTTTTATTCAATTAAGAATCTTACTACTCGTCTCTATTTATTCATACCAGAGGTACAAATTGTGGCACAAGGCCGAAAAGTGGATGGGTAGAGGCTGGTCAACACTAACTATCTTATACCTAGCTAATCAGATTCACGACCCATTCATACATTACAATTTACTCATTCACCACAAGAACTCATCCATCACCGTTCAATCCTCCATCCACCATAATACCACATCCTCTCCATGGGAACTTACAAAAACGCGCCCCACGCCATAAAAATTTGATGAAGATAGACAATATACATAAAATTCTAATAATGATAAAATGAGAGGGAAAGGGAGATGAACCCAATAATGAACTAAAATCAACACAAAATGCAAACTAAACATAATTGATGTTAGTAGGGACCGTCCAACCCTCAAAACAGAGAGGCCGCTGTATTCTGCCCAGAGGACAGAATCAAGAGGCACTCTCGCTAAGGAAGTAGGAAAAGGATAAAATATTATGCGGGAATGGGTATAAAGCTGACCCAGCCGAGATGAAAGGGAACCAAAACAAACTGGGGAGGTTGGGAATCTCGACTTGGACCATAACCAAAGAGCAGCCGGGATACAGGCCAGGACCAACATTTACTCACATTAACTAGGTACACTGAAGCTTTTCTAACCTAACCAAGGGGAGAGTTCCACAGGAAACCACCCCGATGTGCCATAGGTTAACCTAGAAGAGAAAATCAAATCTTACTGCTCGTCGGTATTTATCAATCCACCCACGAGGATCGAATGTGGCACAAGGCCGTTTTAATATGGGTATCCCCGATCCCGTAGGCTCGGCCAAAAATATGGCCTTTCTGAACCCGCCTAGACGGGTTCATGCCCTGTCAACCTCCCCGGACGAAACCCTGCCCTTCGGCAAAGGCTCGTCCGGGTTCCTCTCTGCTAATGCAGAGAGTTCGACAGTCGCCGACGAATCTTACTACTCATCTACTTGACAAGCGGAAATGTACAGCTTTTATAGCTTGGATTATCAAAGAGGAGATAATCCATATTCACAACAGATAGATAGATAGATAGATAGATAGATAGATAGAATTCAGTGATAGCTACTTACGAAGTAGGAATGTTAATATCAACCCTGCGAGTGACCGGTGACTGCTTGGGAATACAAGCTGTTGTAAGTGTGAATGCGCGGGTGGTGTAATGAATAATATTTCGGAATTGTTAAGCGAAGAGCCGAGTTCCAATTCCCGCTGGCTTCGTTATATTCACCTACGCGCAAATACCTCTTGGACAAAAGTATGAATCCACCTCGTATCCCCACAAGCTTATAGGTTTAATAAAAAAAAACATTATTACAACCTAAAAATATTTTCTGGCTTTAAATACCTTGGAAAGGGTTGCTAAGTCGTAAAATACGATCAATCAATGCTGCTCGGGCCGCCAAAACACGTGTTTGACTTTACTAAAAAAAAAAAAGCAAAAATAGATTTTTTGCTTTTTTTTAACAAAGTCAATCAATCCTTGTAGTCTGCTTTATATTTTCATCTAAATGTCTTTTGTTTGTTTTGTTTTGTTTTCGGGTGGCGGTTTTGTCAATCTCATTTATTAGGATTTAACAATTTGTTATCAGTGTAATATTATCGATTGTGGATGCCTGATTATTATCAACGTTCCTCCCGACAGATACAGAATTAAAAGGTTCATTGAGAAAATTCGCTCCGATGAAGCTTCCGCTTTCTTGGATATTCTCGCGTTATCTCTCTCCACTTCGAGAGGTTTCATACCCACCCGGATCACGGCGGTATGCTTCGGTGCATTTTTCATACACAAATTTGGACACCTTGAGAGGATGCAATATTCAAAACCAAAATAAAAAAAACGTTCCTTATGTGTTTTGTAACATGCTAACAGCCAACTATAGCGTTATGGCGTACTTCTGGAACAACACCAGAAACAATCCTGCCTTTGCCTCTATCAGTGTTCGAGACCTGACAATGAACATTTATGTACTGTGGTGTAAATGTTTGATCTGAAAATAATCTGAGAAAATGTCTGCGCTGCAGAACAACGTCTGATCTGGAAATAACCCAAACGTCATTCAAAAAACCAGTTAGCGAGAAGTTGTAGCGTGAGCGTTGTATCCCCGGCGGAAACCGTTATGCGTATGGCCCACTTTTCAAAGAGATATTCTTGAAGGAGATGAAACCACTGAGAATTCAGCTGAGTATGGCACGAACAACTCAGGGTGAAGGTAAACGGGACGAAAAGGAATTATGACTTTAAATTTGAAACGAATGTTAACTAACTTTCCCACTCCGAATAATCGCCGAATAATCATATATTTCGTAATGTATGAAAGAAAAGTTATGGATCAAAACAATACGCAACTGTTAAATATGACATTCGCCCAATCATTTCATTCCCAATTTTCCTCAACTTTTTAGTCAACACTTATGCCCAAATGTCTCCTCCCCCACATTTGCCCAAATGTCTCCTCCCCCACATTTACCCAAATGTCTCCTCCCCCACATTTGCCCAAATGTCTCCTCCCCACATTTGCCCAAATGTTTCCTCCCCACATTTGCCCAAATGTCTCTCCCCACCCCACATTTACCCAAATGTCTCCTCCCCCACATTTACCCAAATGTTTAGTTTCCACAAATTTTTTACTCCCAACTTTTGCTGGACAGTTTCCTCCCCAATTTTGCCTGTTTAGTCCCCAATTTTGTCCCAAAGTTTAATCCCCAAGTTTAACCAACTGTTTATTACCCACATTTGCCCAACTGTTTATTCTTCACTTTTGCCCAACTGTTTACTCCCCATTTTTGCCCAACTGTTTACTCCCCATTTTTGCCCAACTGTTTACTCCCCATTTTTGCCCAACTGTTTATCTCACACTTTTGTCCAAATGTTTATTCCCCACTTTAGCCGAAATGTTTATTCACCATAATTGTCCAATTTTTTTCTCTCCATTTTTGCCCAAGTTTTTAATTCCTACTTTTACACAAATGTTTACTCCCCACTTGTGACCCCTTGTGACTTAGTAGCTTTACTGCCTTGCTTGTGGTGAACTCGATTACAAAAAATGATTTGATACAGATTCTAAAACTGCATGCAAATTATAATTCATTTAATTCTAAAAATTAATTTGAATTATAACAAATCAAAACAATAATTTAGTTGTGTAAGGTGGCATCTTTCCTCCTTATTTTAAAAATAATTTAAAAAGATATAGATAAGCCAATAATATTTGGAGATACTTTTCAAGTGTAAAGTGTTCATTATTCATGCCTTTTCCGAATCAGTTCATAACTAAAACGAAGCTGGAGGATCAGTGAATAAACAAACCACCAATGAAGGACATTAGAAACACTTTGTAAGGTTTATTATTTATTTGCAGTAAAAATTGTTTAGCCACTTCAAGATAACAGAGTCACTTCGGATAGAGAGTTACGGGATGAGATTTTTATTGCAGCGTAAATTAGGTAATTAAGAAGGGTACATTTTGATGACATGTAGGATAGATAAAGGTAGACTCGAGATGATCGTAGTGATCAAAGAAGCATCCTATCGGAAATTTGTTCTACAAACAATTCCAGGAAAGAAACTGTCGAAGTGGGAAATGAGCATGAATCGATTCTGGGTATGTAGCATAGACGGTTCTCAATGTGAAGGTCTAAACTAGAGGAACTAAAAAGTGTAGTTCATCTGAACATTTGTCATGAGAATAGCTATAAGGTAGTAAGAAGCGAGCAACATCTTATCTGTGAGGGAAGGGGTCGGTGAAGTGGAAAATAATCGCCTACAAGGCTGTGTGGACGCTTTTGAATTCTGTCGAAACTGGGCAATGATGAAAATTTATTTTTAATTCTCTTTAAATAATTTGCTATATATTCACTTACCATTCTTTCATTCAAATAAACTAAATTGTAGATGAATCCTGCCAACTTTTCAAATGATTCAAACCCTACCCCCAACCCGCGTATAACATTTTGAAAATATTTCCAAAGCCTCGGTTTATTCCCAACCACTTTTTATTCACGACCCAAGAGTAATTATGAAAAGATACAATATTTGTCTAGCACAACACAAGGAACCTAGCAAGCAAACCTAGCAATTCAATCAATATAACCTTTACAATTCATGTCAGTGAAAAACATTAACCCCAAGAAGGCACAACAAATCACTCCCCAGGAATTTAGAATTAGCCATGTCTGATAGAAGACAGAAAAGGTTTTCTCAGATGATTAATAAACCGCTGTTTCGATTTGAAGGCGTCAAAATTATCGAGCCATTCATTTCCTCATTTAACAACAGATTGAAGGTTATTTTTGAGATTATCTGCCAATGTGACCTTATCGAACCAATCAGATTTACTATTAAGGCTGAAATAAACAGTTGTGTCATCAGCATAGATACCAAATTGAGAATTGATGCCATCAGAAAGGTCGTTGATGACAATTAGGAACAGCGTTAGTTCAAGGATAGAACCCTGGGGGGATGCCTGCAGTAATACAAAAAGAATGGCCATTCAAGACATCTTATATTTTACGATTTGATAAGAAAGATTGAATTCAAAATACCATAACCTTTCAGCTTGTGAAGAAGACCAATATGCGAAACCTTGTCAAATGCCTTCGAGATGTGTCCAAAGCAACATCTCGAGCCTATTTTTGATTTTAGAAAAACATTGTCCTAAAGCAGTGAAGCGATTACTGATATTAATTATGGTTCAAATTGTTGAAAGTTAATTAAAACGTGACAGAAATAAATTGCGTGAATTTTCTGCTTTGAAAATTATTTTAAAATTCTCGATCAGTATTGATTTCTTTCTGAATCAAAATCAATAATTGAATTTATTGGTGTTTGTTTTGTCTTTTTATATGAGAATTGTAATGCTTAAGACTTCAACGCTGTTTGAGAACGTTGATTGTGAATTGATGCATAAGATTTTATTCAGTGTTCGAATTTAGATTAAAACCACGGTTCAGATTTTCCTCCTCTCTTTATATGTTGTGTCCCATCAAAACGTGGGTGATTATGGTTCTTCTTAAATTCTTAATCGTTTTAATTCTAAGCAATTTTAATCCTTAATATCTTCTTCCTAATTTCATCTGCCATCCGTTTACACATGATGATTATGTTACTCGCTACTTCATTTTGATTCTTTTGCCTTCACTATATCCTGTGAGTGTCAGATTCTACAAGCCTTCTTTCCTCATTATATGTCCATGTAATTCAAGTAAGGTAAAACAAACTGACCCTAAGTGAAATTGTCCTGTTCGTTCATGTTTTCTTTAAAACTTCCTAATTCTTCAAATGTTCCGTCCAAGCTATTCTTAGTACTTTTCTGTTGGACCACTTCTTCATCTGTTAGGAAATTATCCAGCATTCACTGTCATGTAGGAGAATGAATATTACATAGCAGTTGAACACGCTTATTTTTGTGTTCAACAAAATTGTACCGTTTCTTAATATTGTTCCTGGAAGGCATCTTTCGATATTTAAATGAGTCTTCGGATTTCTGTTTCGCAAAGTGGTTTTACCAAGTACCCATGTTTCCTTTGTCTATGGGACATCAAAGCCAAGAATCGGCACTGGGACTTTTCACAAGGATGGACCTATTCGTGAAGAGTTTGTTGTTGTGTGGATGAAAAATGCCATAAATGAACAGTTGGGCCAAAATGAAACAATTTATCAAAGCATTAGATCAAAATGGTGCATGCCTAGGTTATATCTGCTCAGAATTTTAATAAGAAACTGAATTTTTGATGGCACAGAATAAAGAAAACTGATTAACGGTGATATTTTGGGCTCCCACGTGACTCCCACGTGACACCCATGTGAGGCTGCTGCGTGGGCTTGTTTTGTCGCATTTGCGAAAGATAACTTCCCTGGAAACCTTGGTGATGTAAGCGAAGAACAGAGAGAACGTTTCTACCACGACATCAAGATTATGAAGGAATGGTAGCAAGGCCGATGGAACGCCCACATCATGTCCCATTAATTCTGGAGTCTTATGCGTGATTACACTGAGAAACTGGCAAAAGGAAGAATAAAATAAAAGAAGCTTCCTTCAGATGAAGTAAAATACAATGACCTATACAGATTATGATATTAGGCTTGTAAGATATTTATTGTGAAAACCTTAAATTACATATTTTGCTAATTTACTTTTGTGTGAAATTTGATTGGAAATCATATTTTTATTTTATAAGTTTTCTGGCTCTTTGTTCATTGTTAAAATAGTAGCATGTTTTCAATTATTCATATAAAATCAGAAAACTTAAATAAAAGTGATACGTTTATTCAACATTCAACAATTTTAATTATTAAGCAATTCATTTTTAAGTATTTAATTACCTAACTAAAAAATGTAGATACGATGGAATAATGGCTCTGATTAAGAAACCAGAGAACCGAGTTCGAATTCTAGTCGAGTTCATTACATTTACCTGCGTACTTGGGAAAAGTATGAACCCATTTCTCCTCTCTCCAGCTATGAGTAAAATAGCAGGACAAACTGAGTCCTATAGTACAGCTTTGGGTAGCAGAAAATCTGAATTCAAAACCGGCAAATATGGTTGGCCAGTCTGTAGCTATGGTTGGCAACCAGTATAGAATAAAGACAATTCTGAATGTAACCCTGGCAAAGCATATAATATGCAGCTAAGGAAAAGGATCGTTGAATTGACATAGAGTCAATGATCCCCAATACGGGTGTGTGTGTGTGTGTGTGTGTGTGTGTGTGTGTGTGTGTGTGTGTGTGTGTGTGTGTGTGTGTGAGTAGAGAGAGAAAAATATACTGATGAATAGTCTATCAAACTCTGAACAAATATGATCGATAAGATTGGGCGAGAGAGGGAGAGAGGGGGGGGAGAGAGAGAGGGGGGAGGGGGGGAGAGGGGGAGAGAGAGGGGGAGAAGAGAGGGAGAGAGAGAGGGGGAGAGAGAGAATAAACTAAGAAAGTTCAAAGTTAAGAACAGAATAGAATAGAAGTGAAGAGGTTGTCATTATATAAACAAATAAAAGATTTAAATATATGTAAAGTCATAATTGAATAGCAAGATAGAAGCATGAATATATTTTTTCCCAATAAACTCTTTTGCGTCCTATTTTACTTTCAAAAATCCGCGCAGATGGCGACCATCATTAAAAGGAAAACCATATTTTAATTTCTTGCCTCATAAAGGAAATCTGCATTGATTGAATTAATCATTTATTTTCTTATCAGTAAGAGGATAACACACACACAGGTACATCAATAAATCTGTAACCTACTTTTACACAGCAAATATTTGTTTTTTTACAATATCTCTTCTTTTGTCAATGCACTTAATTCACATTATTTACATCATTCGGACGATTATCCTCATCTTTATTACCATATTCACAACGTTTCGACCGTTGTACGTCCCGGTCTTCTTCAGGTGATTGGAATTTCGGACCTCAAGGACACATGGCCCAGTGGATAAAGGCGATGGTTAGACAAAGAGTTGTGAGTTCAATACCAAGCTACAGCAGTGGTGAACCAAAAAGCTTGGATAGTTAAGTTAACGGGAAGTAACTGAAACATCCGGAGAATGTGATTTTTTTTAGGGTCGAGTATCGCATAGCCTTTTTGCACCAAAGCGACCACAGATCTTTAATCCTTTTTATTACAATGTGTGAAGCATTGTTGAAACAGGGAAGTTCATCAACATCCGAATAATATCAAGGATTTGATGAAGGTTGGCATCATCAAGACATCATCATCGAAGTTTGCTGAAGGAGGAAGTTTTTTTTATAAATTTATTATGAAATACCTCAAGTTTATATGTACACATTTTTATGACGCTATAACAGTTTTTGTCAAGATATGCTTGTTTTTTCTAAAGATCTCTATTTTTTCTCAAATGCCCTACGCTTCCCCACTGCATAATCTCTCTCTCTCACACACACACACACACACACACACACATATATATATATATATATATATATATATATATATATATATATATATATATATATATATATATATATTCGGTGATGGACCAATATTATCGATTTTAATTCCGAGTTATCCAGAGCTAGAGAATTTAGTCCACACTGCTATTTAATCTATAAATATATGGACGGAAAAGATTTACGTCTTTCCTACGGGTATTTTTTGCGAAAGTGAACACAACACTGGCTAGCATGAAATTCGAACCCGGCTTGTCAAGTTCCCTTTCCGCACTGTTACCCTACCAGCACATTCAATCGATATCGTACTGGCTTCTCTTTTTTGTGATATTTAGTAAGCTTAATTGAAGGAGGTGCAAGGCCAAATGAGGAGAAATGATATTAGGAAGATTGTGTTGCACCAAACGTATATTGAAGGAGAAAATATGCCTTAATAATACGAGCTTTTTTTTATCTGGCGACCGAACACTGTTCTCAAGCACCAGTAGTGAATACTCAACTATTTCAACCACCAGGCAATTTATAAAGCATTGTTGTCAGTTAAGCCGAAGGAACAAGAAATGAACAATTTAAGGTTGAATTTTGACTTTTGTACAAAAAGGAAAGAGTAATTGAACTGTTAAGTGATATCTGTTTGTCTATAAGACAATGAATGCTGGACAATCTCCTCAAAGATGAAGAAGAGACTTGAGGTAACAGAAATGTAGCTCTACAGAAGGAGATGAGGATCCCATGGGCCAAATATGTGAGCAACGGCGAAGTTTTATAGAAAATGCAAACAAAAACAAAAAAAATATACTTAGCATCAGGAAGAGACAGTTGAAATTTCTAGCACATGAGGAAAGCGTGCTTGGAAAATTTGATACTTACAGGGCAGATTGAAGGCAAAAAGAACAGAGGAAAACAACGCAAAACCTACCTAGAGAGTGTGTAAATGGATGACATAACAAGATTAAGGAAAATAACAAAAGGACAACATTTATTAAAAGCTACAAAAGAGAGGAAATTGTGGAGAGCTATGATCGCCTACGTCATGAGGGGACACGTACATGAAGTAATACCCCTAAAAGACAAAACAGATCCCCACTCTGCAAGCCACTCACTAAAACCAGAAAATTAAAAAAAAATATTTTTCGTTCCGGTGAAAGGTTATTAATGTTGCCATCGTGACTGGTAATTAGTATAGCTGAGGTATAAAACTAAAACAGTTGTCTTTGATGCGGAAGTGAGATAAGCAAGTTGTTTCAAGGAGAAGAACTTTCAACTGAAAGAGACGTAGTCATTTAAAATGTATACTGAGCAAAGGGGGTTGCAATCGATGAAACACGGAACGTAGTAAAACTTCCTCTTATTCAGAAAAAAAAATTCAGTATAATTTCAGATTATTATTGTCAAAAAGCCTGCACTTAAAAAAAATGGCTAATTTTGTATCCCTACGTTTAAGTTTGCGAGATTTCTTTTTCTTCTGCTGCTATTTGTTTTTTTGTCTTTTATAGAGATGGCTAATTCTTGATTAATAGTTTAATAACTCTTCAAAAATACTTATTAATTTAATATGCATGTAATAAAATCTGATTCATTATTTGCCATGTGTATCCATTGCTTTTAACGAGCGTTATTCTGACACCTTCACAAAAAGATATCGAATTAGATTCATTAAACAATTCAGCACCTACCAATGAAAATCAATAAAATTGAACGAATCTGTTCACAAAAATAGTTCCTTAAGAAAGAAAGAAAAATCTTATTCAAACTTTTTTTTTCGTTCCCAATACTTCTCCATTAAGCTAATTTCCCCTTGGAGTGCCTCACTGAATAGTATTTTTCTCTCCAGACATATTCCTTCTGTTTTTAGCAGTAAAATATGATTGATACAATATACAATATGATGCTGTCAACTGAACGCGTACAAATTGTCGCATTTTGGGGTGGAATTTATTTGGTTTATTAATTCAACAATTTCTAACGAATGAAGATGATAGTTGCTTATGGTTGCTTGTTTCTGCGCATAAATAAACTTTAGTTTCTTCAGATTTAAAGCTGTTATTTACTAAGCTTAGTAAGGCACAAGGCTAAATGGAATTTAAAAAATTAGAAATATTTAGGCTTTTTAAGTAAACTCCATTGAAAAGAATGGAAAATATAATATTATTAACTCTAAAACATATAATCTGGGAGATTATTCTTGATTTTTTCTGAAGGCTCGTACAATGACAGTTGGAGTAGATGCGACGAAAAGTAATTGTAATTGAGATGGAATAAATGGTTGACAACTAATAAAATTCAAAATAACTGCTAATACTTCTTCAATGTACCGAGTCCCTTCAGGACATTGGCGATCATGGCTCTCCACAATTTCCTGTCCTTTGTAGCTCTTAATAAATTTTGTCTTTTTGTTATCTCTCCTAAACCCTGTTTCATCATCCATTCACTCAAATTAGCCAAGTAGGTTTTCATCTGCCCCCCTCTTGCCTTCAATCTGTACTGTGAGTGCCAAATTTTCCAAGCCCTCTTTCCTCATTATGTACCCTCAACATTTCGACTGCCTCTTCCTGATGTTAAGTATAAATGTCCTTTTTGTTACCATTCTTTCTAGAACTTCGTCATTGCTCACATGTTACGTCCATGGTATTCTCAACATTTTTCCGTAGAGCCTCATTTCTGTTGCTTCAAGTCTCTTCTTCATCTGTGCGGAGATTGTACAGAATTTACTGATATTACATAACATTCAGTACTCTTTTCTTTGTTTCTAATGTATTTTTTCTGTTTCTTAATACTTTGCTTAGCTTGTGAAAGGCTTCTTTCGCTCTCTTAATGTGCCTTCGAATTTCAGTGTTGCACTTTCTGTCATCTGTTAAAACGCTTCCCAGATATTTAAATTGCTGTACTTGTTGGATTTCGATTCTCTCCAATTTTACAATTCGGATGTTGGTTTGTTTTTTTTTACAAAACTACAGTTGCCAGCCTTACTGCAAAATGTGGAATTGTCTCGCATTTTGATGCTGAAGGATGTGTCCCACGTTAACTGACGCGGGACACGTTTTTCTCCCGCATTTTAAGAATCGATGATTCTTTTTAAAAAAAATAAGTTTAAATTTTGCTTTATTTTTTTTAAAGACATTTTTTTCCTGGAATACTTTGTTAGTTTCTTTTGATTATTTTAAATGTTTTATTCCAAAGAATATTTAAAATTGATGATCTTGAATGACTACGTAGCAATGGGATGATACATTACGATACATTGCAGATATTTAAAATACTGAATAAAATCTTATCTTTTTGTCGTTTTTTACTCAGTGTTCTCTTTCACGCTAGAATTCTAATTGAACCGTTATTTTGTTATGATCCTATAATATTCTTGAAGTATAATCTCTAACATATAAATTTCCATCGCTTTGATTTCATTCAGCTTTGTTACGTCCCGTAGAAAAGTTTCTGATCAGGAGACTGGGGGTTTTGAGGAGCGTGGAACCACCTCTTAATTGCTGTTGTTCCCAGGTCCACCCTGACCCAAAGTGGTAGCACCTGTTAGGGTCCCAGCTATGGGTAAATAGTGAACTGTCAAACAAAACACAATCAAAATATAAAAATACATTTTTATATAAAAATATATTTATATAAAAATACATTTTTATATATATTTTATATAAAAATACCAGCAATATATTTTGATGTAAAAAAGGCCCAACAATACATATTTATAGTAAAATGACCAACAATACATTTTTAATGCAAAATGACCAACAATACATTTTTAATGCAAAATGACCAGCAATACATTTTCTGTAGTTGAAGACATACAATTGTGTTCAAAATATATTCAGTTGAAGCCATAAGATTTTCTTTAAATGATTTGGCAACAGATAGAGGTTTGTATGTTGCTAAACAAAATCAACCAACCAAACAACGAACATGAAAGAACTCTTTTATGACATTAATCCATATAATATGCTGCAAATCCTTAAAGAAATCAAACTGTATTCCAAAACATAACTTCAACAAAACTACAACATAAAACACACATATCACCGCCTCTGATGTAATGATGTTCACACAAACATATATCTGCACAAAGATTGAGTATCATTTACAATGCAAGTCAATTGTGAAACAGAATATGGAGTTGATATGTCGTTAAGCAAACAAATTACAAATTAATTCAGCATTGTGTATCCGTGGTCTCCGATTATCATGAGCTAAACGAGCTTTAATATCACTTGGTAATAGAAAGGTAAAAGATAAAATAATTGTTCTATACTAATCCAAAATTAAATGGCAAGATGATCAAAGAATAAAGAATTTCATTAATATTTTCTCAAGGATTACGCGCTACTTGAAAAACATTCTATTTGTAGCAGTTTGTATACTATAAATAAATTCCAAGAGAAATTACATTTTATTTCCCTAAATCATATTCATTTCAAAGAAAATGAATATTTTCAAAATATATATGTTTTGCATCTAGAAGTTTTTTTTCTTTATAAAAATTAGTTTTCATATCAGTTCCAATATTTCCAAGGTTCCAATATTCAAGGATAGGTACCATTTTCTTTCTCTTCCTTCCATTTTACTGTTTTGCAACAATACGCAACAGGTCTTTCATTTTTTTAATATTATCTGAAAAACAAACCGAATCTTCCAACAATACCCGCCATCTAGGCTAGAAGTACCAGCTGCAATGCTAGCAAGAATACTTAAGTAAATATATAGATGTTAACTGTTTTAGATAGATAGATAGATAGATAGATAGATAGATAGATAGATAGATAGATAGATAGATAGGGGAACAGTTGGATAAAAGTCTCTAACTTTTTCTTGAATTATTTATCTTTTTTATGATTTTCTTTCTGGCCCTACTTACTAAGTTTAAATATTTTGTAATAAAATAACTTTAGTGATCTTAAAATCTCCTTCCAAGTAATCTAGTTGTTTGTAAAATTGTTTGTAATGTTTCTATTTATCGTGGGTTTTAATAAACCCGGTTAAGTCAATTACTTCATCGAATACATTATATATTAAAACTGTGTTACGCTGATTTTATCACTCAGAAGATCAGAAGATCATGCCTTCTTGAAAAACAGAAATTGAAATCCTGACCTCTGACAAATTCCTAATGATCTGAGACTACATTTGCGTAATAAGATTAAAGAAACTTTAAAGTTAGTCAAAGTTCGAAAAGTTTTCTTTATATTGGCAGTTCTTTATTCTCACCTATAAGAATAGTCTTATATATAATCCCCAATGATTTAGAATCAAACGTGGACGACCAGACGGCGTATATAAACGAAATATTTCTAATCTAAAACCGAATAGATATTTCCTTATTATTAACAGACACATCAGCAAAAAGCATAAATTCACATTAGATTGTTTGCTGCTGGCAATGAAGACATTGAAGTTATTGGAAGATACGATTATGTATTCTATTTGGTGATTTATATCAATAATTATACAACTAAAGAATAAAAGTAACTCACAAGAACATATATTATCGATATTCGAGTAACAAACAAAAATGATGAGTGATTTTTTTTACTAATTTCTAAAAAACAAAAAAAATGTCATGTGTATGTGTGTGTGTGTAAACAGCAAAACTATTAAATGGACTGAGCTGAAAACTGACACAGAAATGCTTTTTTTTAATACAATTCCCTTGCCAAAAAAAGAATATTCTTACAATCCAAAATATCTTTCAGCTTTAAATAAACCACTAAGGGTTGATAAGCCGTAAAAACAAAACAATCAATCTAATTGTAAATAACAATAAATGTGAAGTCACCACTAATTCATTAATGCAGCAATATTTATTTTACAATCAATGGCAGTAGATAAAATAAAGCCTCTACTGTCTTTCCTTGCATTTAAATTAATGTTAAGTGACTTACCGACTTACGATTAGAAGTCTAATACTGGTGGCTTATTGAAGCCTGTTTTCACAGTTTTTTAAGATAACAAGATCAATAACGCAAAGTATCTGTCTCGATGACGTGTCACTTGACGCTATTAATCTCCATATAAGGGCATAGAACTGGTGTTACTAACCCAACACTTCGATAAAATATGAAGTGACTAATAACGTATGTATATAGGAGTCAATAATGTATAATACGCAAAAAAAACTTCTACAGAATAAAGCAGGGGTCATATTGCAGTAAGATTATACAACCCGTTTATGACATCTCAAAACTTAGTAAGTAAACCAATAAGAGATACGCTCTGGCTGAAATTACACCTGAAGAAGGACAAGGACGAAACTGGTTGAAATTGTCTTCTTCTATGTGCTGTATCGTTTCAGAGAGTGGGCGATCATTGTTCTCCACAGTTTCCTATCCTTTCTGGCCCTTAATAAGGTTTGTCTTTTTGTGACATCTCTTAAATCCTGTTCTGAAAAACATTTACGCAAATACCTTATAGGTAGGTAATCCATTACTTTCCTCTTTCCTTCTTGCTTTCAAATTTCCCAAGTCCTCTTTCCTGATGAGGTGCCCTAAAAATTTCAACTTCTTTCTGATGCTATGTCTAAGCTCCCTTTTCTTTTCCTTTTCTCTACATAGGCGTACATACTCCGACTAAAATAGGAACTTTAAAATGATAATGAAATGCGAATAGACTAAAAAGCATTGAAAATTAATAACTGAGTTAAAAGTTATAAGCATAACATTAAAGAATAGTCTTTAAATTATTTAATCTACAATCAAAGACAAAAACTGTCTTTTAATTCTTTCTGGTGTTGGTTCATTGGTTGAGTTTGTTTAGCGGCATATCAATCTCTTTAATACCGAAATTTAAATATTTTGAACAGAATTTTAGGCTTTCAACAACAGATATTTTGTACATACATTTTATACTTTCAGAGGAAAGGTATATTTTTTTTTAGATATACAGTTTTTAGATCATAAAATGTATTGTAAGTAATAAAAAATGTACTGTTGATTTTTGTTGGGGGGGGGGTCGCTATTTGCCCGTAGCGGGGACCCTAACATGTGCTACCATCCCGGATCAGGGTGGACCTGAAAACAGAAGTAGTTAAGAGGTGATTCCCATGCTCCTCAAAGCCTCCAATGTCCCGATAAAACGCCTTGCTGCCTTGTAGGTGTGTGTGTGTGTGCGTGTGTGTGTGTGTGTGATCTTGAAGAAATTAAAAAGCCATTTTCAGTCTTCAAATATTTTTGAAACGATGTTCGTTTGTTTTATCCGTAACAATATGATGCAAATCAACAATGAAGTAAACGCGATTAAAAAATTTTCCCCTCTTTTTGGAGCATCTGACAATCTTTTCATTTTTTTTTTTGTATCCAATCTGCTTTTGACAACAATTTCGCATACTATTTTCCAGCCAGTTTTATTATTTGTTTATTTATCCTCTGCCTTTGGGAATTCATTGAAAGATTGGACTTGTAACTTGTGAGGCAATTGTCAGGTGTGCAGACGAAGAGCCAACGGAAAAAGGTTTGAGCCGAAAAAGAATGATGGCAAAATTTAAGAAAGAATGAAAGAAAGAAAGAAAGAAAGAAAGAAAGAAAGAAAGAAAGAAAGAAAGAAAGAAAGATGGAGGAAATTAGGAATAATAAATGCAAGAAGAAAAAGGAGATAGAAAAAGAAAGTATATGTTTGGTTTACAGTGATTCATGATCGATATAAACTGATTAAAATAAGAAGATCAATATATCTATAGCACGACGTACAGTTATTATATGAATTCTTTTCTTGACATTTCTCAGTATAGGATTCGCTCTATGAGATTAATATTCACCAGTGAATTAAGTGCATTGACAAGGTAGGAGATCATATTGTAAAACACATATTTGGGGGAAGGTTTTTCTTTCATCATAATCTGTGAACTCATTGATATAAATTATCAGCTAGTAAATATATTAAATGTAATAATTAGATAGATAGATAGATAGATAGATAGATAGATAGATAGATAGATAGATAAAAATTAAACTCTACATACGTACATACATACAGACAGACAGACTGGGATAGATACATAGATAGATAGATGCATATATACAGACATACTGAGACAGACAGACAGATATTAACAGAATGAAATCGAAATGAAAATTGAGTGAATACACAATAATTTAAAATAAATAATTATAATCCAAAAACATAAAAGAGAGGATTTAGACATTTCTGAGATTTTGAGCCTTATTTCATGTAAATGTAACAGTTCTTATTTTATTTAAGCCTCATAGAAAACCTGACAGACACAGTCTGGGTTATCCTGGATCTCTACAACTGCCTATCCTTTGTACCTCTAAGCAATGTTTGTCCCCTTACTATCATTCCAACTGCCTATTCTGATCTATTTATACAAGCTCTTTAGGTATATTACTCGTTGTTTCTAGTTATATAGGCTCTCATCCACTTGACAATATTATTTTTTTTTTAGCCTTGCGTGATACATTACTAAATACTAATACTGAGGGTATGTGTCTTGGGGAATTTTCTTCGAACGGGTATCTTCGCGTGAGGATGTGAGAGATTTAACTTTTCTCTCTAGGGCGGGGTTTTTACTCACTCAACCTCTTGACAATCTGCTATTCCACACGACATTGCACCTGGTGACTGCGAGGGCATCCTCCTAACAAACCTTTTGATGCATCCGGTTCCTCCGATGCCCTGGTTAGTCCAGCATACAACCGGGTCACCACAGATCAACTCCCTCCAAAACGAAGATTCCCTATTAAGATCAAATTCGTTTTAAACCTCTGGCACTCTCCGGTCCTGATATTGCACAAGGGCTTGGATTGTGGCTGAAAAATACCCACTAGATGCGTCAATACATACCCAGTATCAACTAAATCCTACATAGACCAACTAGAATTATAATGAACACACAGGAAGTATACACACGAACGTTACTTGACAAGACAGCTACATGTGATGTCTACTTAACCAATGAACAAACAACAGAATTTTTTTAAAATACCAGAATTTTCTTTTCTCCTCCATGTTTCATTTTCTGATGAAGCTTAAATAAAAGCGAAACATGTTAAATCAATAAAAGTTTCCTATTCATAACTTTATCCTATCATTCTGTCAGATTCTAATCCATATTTGATCCCACTTCATATATATTTAAAATTTTCTATTTTTATGGGAGGTGTTTAGTATTGCAGCATTTGTACTACAAATACCCGCAGCTTTTTACATATACGACATACCCTGATGTTATGCACCAGCTATTTGAGAACACACCTTCAGTGAGTTATAACTAAAGGGTGTCCAAATGTAATGAGACACAATGTCATACGAGTTCATATTAATAAAAGATTGTGTTACAAATGTAGGGAATTGTTGCACCAGCATGAGAATGTTGACAATGATTATTAATGGATATTACTTTGTTTCATTCAAATTGTTGGAACCATTGACCAAGCAAGAAGTGTTGCATAGAATGAAACTGATAGCCTGCAGCTAAACAATCTGTAAGCAGAAAAACTTCCCATCACAACTTCATAACTTTTGTTGCGTCATATTTGTAACATAAGTATATGCATTGTCATTTAGTAAACTCCTGTTCACGCTATTACTCCCTGAAGCCAGTTTTGTCCAAGTTCCAGCAATGAAAAAATTCCTTACAACCCCACCAAACACCAAGAAAAAATATTCATCCAATATATTAAATTTAAGTTAAAATGTTGAAGGCGATGATTCATAGTAAAACAACTAATTGGTAGTAGATTGTCTAAAAACCTCTTTTTTTTTCTGTATTGTGTAAGAAGAGAAAGATAAGTGTCTAAACGCTGACCGTAATTTCCTGTGGATGCAATTTTCCTAGCATTTGAAATTTTACTTGGGTTTAAAGATGGCGTACAATAGATGACTGATTGCCCAAATCATAAAGATTTTGCAAAAAATATCGCTTGGAAGTTTTGCATCAACCTTACGAAATTATTTGAAAAAAGTGGATCTAAAAATTTTTCATATTTATTACCATCATCAATTTGATTTAATCGAAACCAGTCTCCACTCTTTCCGTTTTTCCACAAGTTCTGAGATGAAATACGGCTGTTATACCCAATGAGGCGCTAAGTTTGAGAACTGTGACAGACAAAACATGTGTACGGTTTGACATAAAAACGCTAGGATAATGAAAACTAAAAGATTTATGAGAGGTTGGGAAAGAATAAGAAGAAAACGGAAGTTAAATCAAAAGAGAGGAAAATATGATCAAAAATTAAATGAAACAAAAGAAAAACATTTTTGTATAAATCTATAGTTAGAGAATTGGACAAGTGAGTTAAGGTCCATAGTTTTCTTTCTGAATCAACCAATAAAAATTAAAATAACAAATAAATTTAAAAAAAAAAATTAGCAACGTATAGGATTACACCTAAA